ACAACTGTCCAGGTTTTCCCGAGGATTACAGATGGCTATCGGATCATTTGCTAATACTCGGTTGTGCTGTGCTGTCTGAAATGTATTTACTCTGTCCCTGATCTCCAATACCCTTCACAATCGCACAGTCTAAAGCAAAAAATGCCAGAGGGAGAAAAAAAACCTTTAATACAACGGGCTTTACAGGCTACAGTGGCACAGTCTGCCTCTTGTGTTCTGGCATATTAATCCAAGAGCTTGATTTAATGAGGAAACATCTGATATTGCCTGTCAAACAGCAGGCTATTTTATGCACACTTCCAACTGTAGATTCCAACAGTATGTAGTGGAGCCAGTGGTGTAGTAGTAGTAGTAATATATGAACAAGAGCCACAGGGAGTAGTACTGTGGCACAAAGCGATGCTTATACCCAGCAGAGAGGGTTAGGGGAACTTGAGTTTTGGAAGGATTCCTAGTAGCTTCAGCCTCACTTTAAAGAGAGGTCTGGCCCCGCACACTGAGCGTGGCTACAAGGGGCACTGACATGGAAAAACACAAGTGCTGACATGATTTGGGCACTGCAGTTACCTTACATAGCATTAAACGCCATGTTGTTGTCACTCCTGTACAATTAAATTCACATCCAACTCGGTGTGAAGTAGCAATAAATCAGTTTAAGCTTTGGTTGTGTTAGACTTTGGTTCTTCTTACCATTGCTAACTCTGAGAGATGAGACAGTCCAAGTAACTTCAAAACAGTGCTGATTTATTCAAAGGATCACAGGTAAAATTAACATTACACGCTCAGGTATCTTGCACCTCCAAACTGCTCGCAGGCAGATGTAAGATGAAAGACCCTGAACCCACCAGGCCTATACATTATATCCCCTCAGTTGGGCTAGCCCCATACTACACAGAAACGTCAACCGAGACGTCTCTGTTACCAGCTTTGCAGCTGGTCATAGCAGTAGTCAAAACATGAAGCAAATCAATGTGTGTGTGTCTGTTGGTTAAGTGGTGTGTAGCTAAAAACATTCTCACGACCTCTAGTAACATGTCGTGGCTTAAACATAAGAACATATTATGGCTAAGGCTACAGTTATACACGTCGTAATAATAATATTAAACACCCTGTCTGCTGACAGTCATCAACTCTTCTCTCTAGTTATCCTTGACCAGATGTACCCTGTAGAAACTCATAAGCATGCCTAAGCATTTAACAGTCTAACTAGACATCCTATCTCCACTAAACATTTCTAATACATAAAGTATCTATCCAATTTCTGTCTGACTAAAAATACCTAACAATTGACAACAAACTACTGTACATTTCTCTCACCATTTCCAATTCAAGCCTAAAACCTGAAATGATGAACTGTTTTTGATCATGTCTCACTCTGATAAACGGCCAAACACTGCCCGATGACACGATCAGTCACACGCTGTCGTGCCTACAGTATTTTATCAACATCTATGAGCAGGCATTGTACCTCAGTTGCTGCTTTTCACTGGCATATCTGAGTGAAGGGATGCTGATATATGATCAAATGACTGCAGCAGCAGTGGCAGCCTTCATCAGCTGAAAGCGTTAGATCACAGCATGTTTGGCAGCCAGTGGGAGCAGTCAGATGGAGGGTTAGAACAACCAGACAAACAGTTGGCACAGATGAACCGAACACAACTTAAGATTCCGCTCTCCGCAAACTCGACAAAGAAACAACAGCAACCACACATTTTTTTAATCTAATCTGCAAATTAAATAATCCCTACAATGTTTTGTTATGAACACAGGATGGAGCGTGTGAAAAACACATTGTCTGGGAATAGCATGATACATAAAACCAGAAGGATAGCACTTTTTATTTACAAGAACATCCCCTGCAGCTGAAGCAATTGCGGGAAAATTCCTTAAGAGTTTGCCAAATACATTCAGTGCAAGCCTTTCGGCTTTAGAAATCCCTTACTCGCATAGGTGCACGCCTGCACGCGCGTACACCCCCAGGGCAACAGATTTCAGACATGTCTGGACTGCCCCTTTTTTCTACATAGGGAGTCAAATGTTTATAGTATTTAATAGCTGCAGCTATGTTGGTGAAGACGGGCACTTGTTCTGGATTATACCACAAAGCAGTCCCAGCAGCAGTATAGGCAGATCTGGTTGGGTGGGGGGGTGAAAGGCTATTGCATGACTGGTGCATTGTGCAACATATAAACAACATATGAAAACTATTAAAAGTAACTAGGTCTTGTTAAGAAGATACATCCCAAACTGTTCCACGTCCCTGAAAACTGACATTACAAAGTCAGTATCAGCTTGTTTGCGTTTTCCCCCACAAACAGAGTTTGGGGTTTGTTTTGAAATCTTACTGAGGGTCAGTGTTTCTAGGAATCTGATGAGTCACCTGTCATCTCTGGTCATAACCCACCCAAGAGCTCCCAAACCGTCTGGACGTGTAGTCACGTTGGGGCTGCGGCTGCGTGCCCGCGCTGATCTTTCGTGCACCTCCATCCTGTGCAGTGTTGTTCGATTAGGTGACTTTTAATTAGAATTTGCTCACAAGAAACGGCCTTATCACTGTAAAAGAAATCGACTGTTTGTAGTTAAAGTGCTCCATTGTTGCTTACTAGTTAAAGGTAACTTGAGGCGAGCATTTCATAACCGCTCCACACATCGCCGCTTCTGCAAAGTTACAAAAACAAGTTCTCCAGTTGTGGCTGGTACCGGGCTGTGTTACGGGCTCTGGTCGGATAAAGGCATTCTGATCACAACAGACACGCCGGGAGCAGCTCTATCCGGAGCACAAACTTCGACCTGACCCGCTCCAACAATAACGTTGGCCTCCTTTCTCTCTGATTCCACACGGACCAACTGAAAGCTGCACCGATCTTCCACGATATCGCCAGGGCTTTATGTTTCCAGCAAGAGGGGAGAGAGCCAGGCCGAAAAACTGGCCTCATTCACCGTCTGCGCCAGACAACGTTCACTAGCCCGGCCTGGGAGAGCGAGCGGCGGGGCTCTCGACCGTGTGCCAAACGTGCGAAAAGACCGCGACGAGACTTGTGTCGTGTCGATGTACTCACCTTATCGGAGTCTAGGTGGATCCGGGACAGAATAGGCAGGCCGGGGTAAATGCAGGGGTGAAGCACGCCGGGCGCATGTCGTCGACGTCGTCTCTGTTTGCTGTCGGCTGTGATGTGGAAGAGGAACGGCAGACTCGGCTGGAAGAAATCGAGATATCTGAGAATGCCCCTCTCTTTCTGCAGCCCGGTGCAGAGCCCATAACTGTCGACGGGAGGCGCCAGCGCAGCACTTTTTTTGTATGTGTGTGTGTGTCTGATATGCGCATACATGCATACCACACAACTCCTGTAAGAAATCCGTGTGCGATCATATTCATGCAGGGGCTGAGATTATAGCGGCGTCGATGTGCTGCGTAGTGTTCGGAATTGAACTGTGCAGTGATATCCTGAAAGTTTTTAGGATTCCTATTTCTTAGGAACTGGAGTTCTGGGTCGTCTTTATCACCTCACCATGCAGATTACATAAGGAGGGCCCATGCACAATTTCTCTCTCTCTCTGTATCAAGGGGCTAAACAATGGTCTTGCATAGAAATGGACAGAAAGTTCCTTTACCAAGCATAGTTTCAGGACAACAAATGGCCTATGAATGAATGAGAAATATTAACAAATAAGAGAAATGAGAACTAATGTGTAGTGTACCATGCAGCAGTATACAAAATACCACCATTAGAATCATGAATACCACTCAAAGAATAATTTCTCCAAAACATCCTCTGACCCAGACCTCTCACCTCATGACCTATGAGGTTCATGATTTTGATTATGAACTGCTTAAATCCAAGACAAGACAGTCCTTCAAAACAGCTTTAGATGTCTCATCCACATCACATAGGAGAGGAGACAGAACCACATGACTCATTAAGACAAAGAAGGCAAAGCCTAGAAGGTTTTCTACAGTGTCTCACTAAGCACTGCAGGACAAGACACAGACTATGCACCTGTCTATGAGGGAAACAGAAGGAAGACAGAGATTTCAGTTTAAATGAATCAAATGGAAATATGATTGCACAAGCAACTGTTCATCAGTACTCAGTGTCACCTAGATGATGAGCACAATGCAACTGATTATACCTTGAAGTCACTTCCTCTAATTCAGATATCGAAAGCAACAGCAGAGAAGGGAGATCTGGGAGCAGTCTAAAAGCACAGCAGACATTCCCATCTGACCTCGTGAATTGCAGATGCACTGCGAAGAAGTTGCCAGCTCTTCAGGCCAGTAGCTAATCCCTGCCCTTTAACGCCACAACCTCAACCTGACTTTAAATAAACATGATGGGCTTAATGTCCATCCCTAATCTCAAACATCCTTTGCCACACTAATTGGACTTTCATAAAGTGGAGCAGGTGGATAAACTGTAAATGGACACAACTGGCTTAAATAGCTCACACACAACAGTCAGTGTCTCACTCACACACACTGCTGGACAAAATTTCCCACGTCCTTTACGTAAGTAAAAATTGCATTACTGCAGTGTACAACTAAAATACTGCCCTGTGTCAGAATGTTGTTCTAAAGTTAATCTAAATGTAAATTAAGCAAAAGTACTGAAAGCAAAACTACTCAATATGCAAAATGACTCGGATCTAATGTTGAATTATTTGGATATTTTGTAAGATAATTGTAAACTTTCTATGTGAAATCAGAACATAAAATGACAAACTACTGTTTAATAAATATAATGCAAGAAAAAGTGTTGGGAAATTAAGTGGACTAAAAGTAGCCTACGGCTAGTGTCAAATGTATAATTACAAATAGTAGGCTACAAGTACATTACACACACCTTTAAAGGTAAAATACAGATGTCAGAGATACTTATGGTAGGATATACAGCCAATTGCCACTTGCTTCTCTTTATTAATATTTATTTCTAATATTTGGGTCTTTATTTACTTCAGGTTGTTTTGTAGTCTAGATAGTTTCTTGAAATAGGGCGACACCCAAAGGTGGAACAGGGCTGTGTCGTGCGGTGCATTGTGGTCTGGCACCTCTTGTGTCGTTGCCTGTTTGGCTCACACACCGCAAAATGGCGACGTCCCTAGGATCCAACACATACAACAGACAAAACTGGGAAGACGCAGTAAGTTTAATCGGCATCGAAGTTTACCGGAAAGCACAACTCTTTCCAGTTTCATTTCAAGAATTATCATGAACATAAAATCTAGCAGCATGCCACTTATCTGGCAGGTTCAATTGATAGCTGGTTAGCTTTCCGTTAGCTAGTAGCTAAAGCGTGTCTGCTATCCTCTGAGAATGTTTCAGTAGATCGGCGTTAGCTATGGTGTTAACATTAATTTACAGAGTATTTATGTTTAATCCGAACACTAGTGAGCTAAGGGTGATCGGCGGTAGCGTCAAAAATAGGATAAGGTTAAAAGAAAATGATCTCATATAAATCTGAAAAGTAGCTATACTGCTGAAGTTAGCTACCCAAGCTAATGAAGGCTATACCTAGCAGGCTAGCTAACTAGCATGAACAAAACAAAAGGAAGCTGCACAAAATAATCGTCTCAACTGACGACTGAGATGTGCAGACCAGAACCAGACCGACACGCCAACTTGTATTTTGCCTGTAGAATCGTTTTTGCATTTTCTTTGGTCCTTGGCAGTGTAACATTAGCTAAACGCAATCACAGATATTGCAGAGCAATGAATAATAGGGCCAGACCCGCTTGACGTATAAGTCAGTCATAACTCTTATTTTCTGAGTTTGAGCTCAGTATCTATACACCGCTTTCAGTTCTATACACGATTCTGGTCTTATTGGAGTTGTGCTTTTTGTTTGATCGTCATACGATGAGTTGGTCATTGTAGTGAAAAACGAGCGAACTGCTTCAACCTAGCATTTTAAGTTAAACTGAAGTTGGTACATAGCCACTAAGTCTTACTCTTCACTATACTGATTGCCCACCAAGCAAGTGTATTTTTGAGCAACCTAAATGGTCTGCAACCCTACTATGTAAGGCAACAAATTTGTTTCCTCTCATCAGCCTTGACACCACAGGGCCTTTGGCCAGTGTTGGTTTTATGTAGTTGACATTTGTTTCTGAAGAGCTGCTTATATTTAGATATTTGGCTGATGCTGTCAGTGGGATGGATTAAGGCACGTCATTTGCAGAAGTTAGCACTTGGACTGAAACAGCATCCTTCACCAGATGGCAAAGTTGGAATGAGCAAGTCCAATGGCACTTGATGTACAGAGATCGTGCAACAGAGATTGTAGGCCTAGTGCTTCAGATAACTTGCATCAGGGGACTGCTGAATAAATAACAGTCATGGTGCTTGGATTTTGCTAAAGAAGAAAAATCTGATTTCCATTGTCTTCCAGGATTTTCCGATTCTCTGTCAGACATGTTTAGGAGAAAATCCTTACATCCGTATGGTGAGTGAACATTATAGTGCGTCATTTTAATGAATTGGAAGTTTGTATCTTGTAGTGTTAATGCCAGTATATGTCTGGACTCAGATTTGTTTGTTTGTTTTACAGACCAAGGAAAAATATGGGAAAGAATGCAAGGTATGTTTTGCAGTAATACTTTGTCATGATTATGCAGCACGTAACTTTGTTTAACTTACACTTACTGTACAACGCTATGTTCCATTCATGTAAGAAAATGTATCCATACATTTTTCATTTCTTGTCAGATTTGCGCTCGGCCCTTTACTGTGTTCCGATGGTGTCCAGGGACACTGATGCGATTCAAGAAGACGGAAGTCTGTCAGACCTGCAGTAAAATGAAGAATGTTTGTCAGACATGTCTGCTGGACCTGGAGTATGGTGAGTCTCCGCAACAGACTTGTCATTTCTGTACATTTATTTTGGCTTGTTGAAGCATTTAGCTATGTGAGTTTCACCCTTTTGTCACACCTGTGTTTTCCAGGTTTGCCTATCCAGGTCCGAGACACTGGGCTTGCTATTAAAGATGAGGTTCCAAGGTCAGATGTGAACAAAGAGTACTACACACAGAACATGGAGAGAGAGGTATGGCTACTTTCTAATACTGACAGAAAATATTAATATATACAGTGAAGAACAGAAGTATTTGAAGACCCTGCAATTTTGCAAGTTCTCCCACTTAGAAATCATGGAGGGGTCTGAAATTCACTTGTTATGTGTAAACTGCAGGCCAAATATATATTTTATTGTGTAGGAAAAAAAGAAATAATTACAATAAGAACAGGAGCAAATTACTTAAGGACTTGAAACCAGGATCAAATACAGGTGTTCAGGACATCTCTACAACTACTGCAGCTGTACAGTGAGGAACAGAAGTATTTGAACACCCTGCGATTTTGCAAGTTCTCCCACTTAGAAATCATGGAGGGGTCTGAAATTCACATTGTAGGTGCATTCCCACTCTGAGAGACAGAATTT